GGGGGGGGGGGGGGCTTGGAAAAAAAAATCAGTTTAAGAATAGTGACCTTAATGTTTGTTGCATTTGTAGTTACGTAGCTGTTGACACAATTGTTTTTGTATTATGTACGTTTCAATAGTTTATGTTCTGTTTGACAAGGTTTTTAAAGTTTTTTTTAAGAAAAAATAATTTCGTAACAAAAAAAATTATGGGTAATTACGATTTGCAAAAATGGTTTACATGCATGGTAGAATATAAATAATATATGTACATAAGAATAAGTTCAAAAGGAAAGAAGCAAACTCAAATAAGTAAAAAGAATAAATGAAAAAAATAAATACAAACTTTACGTAATAAAAATAATGGTAAATGACACTTTTCACACTTAAGGATCTTTGAATTTTAGTTTTCACCCTGAATGATTAAAATTCTCACAAATGCACCCTCAATTAAANTGACACAATTGTTTTTGTATTATGTACGTTACAATAGTTTATGTTCTGTTTGACAAGGTTTTTAAAGTTTTTTTTAAGAAAAAATAATTTCGTAACAAAAAAAATTATGGGTAATATAAAGAAGTAGCAATGTGCTCCATTTTCATAAAATTAAGTAGAAAATTTTAATGTAAATTACTCAAAACTAGGTATTATACAAATAATTGTGTATTAAAACAGGATAATATAATAAATAAAACTAGCAAAAAAGGCATTGAAAAATAGGTTTTGGACCACTTGCTATATTTTTGTCTAATTAAGGGTGCAATGTGAGAATTTTAATTTTTTAAGATATAAATTAAAATTTTAATAATTTTCCAGGGTACAAAGTGTCATTTGTCCCAAAAAATAAAAGACATTTTAAAATAGCATTGTCAAACGATGCCTTATGTTCAATTATAAATTTTATTTTTCATTTTTTTTCCTTCAGGCATTCAATAAAGCTTGGAAGGAGGCTTGTTCTTTTGAAGGAGTAGCTGTTCTTGTAATTCCGGCTAACAGGATATATCATCTTAAGCCAATTACTTTTCCAGGTCCTTGCAAATCCGTCCTTACAATGATGGTAAGTTTGTAATGCATGAATTCATAAAATAGTAGCTAGAAAATTTTGCGGGTTCTCGAAAAATCTTGTGGTCATTGTTTTTAATTTCGTTCTAACTTAATCATCCATTGCACTACATGAGCACAACAATTCATGGTTGATTGTTCTTTTGCTTTCATTTTGAGAACAATTGGTAACGTACATTGTTAATCGCACATGTTTTTGTGTTTTTCTATTTCGTTTTGCTGTTAGTTTGCAATAAGAAATCAAAACATGATGGCTTTTGCTAACTCTTTATTAGAATTTCATATAAATTTTTTTTATTTTTTTGGGTAATCTTAATTAGGTCCATGGAACAATCAAAGCTTCTCCACGCCGATCAGACTACAAGGAAAGCCCAAGACAATGGATTGTGTTTGAAAAAATGAACAACTTCATAGTTGAAGGTGGTGGGACCATCAATGGAAATGGAAGGCCATGGTGGCGAAACTCCTGCAAAATCAACAGAAGCCTCGTAAGTATTGGTGACCAAATTCTCTAATTGAATACTTAGTAGGTGATTGTGTGCATCTGAGCTTTTAATTACAATAATTAGAGGTGTAACTCGGACAAATTTATTGCATTCAGTCTCACCCCCGAATTTTGGCCCTAAATTGTGTAACTAGAGACCCAAATCCCAATTGAACTCAAATTTTACATCAAGTTGGATCGCATGGAAGTCAAACCCAAATTGAACTTGATTTCAAACTGAATTGTATAATCCGGGTTCAACCCAAGTTCAAATTAGATGAATGTTTAGAGTTAAATTTAGGTTTGGATAGCAAATTTTGAAAGTTCGATTAAGCCCAAGTCAATCCCACAACTTGGGTGGACTCTCCATTAGCATGGTAAAAAACACACGTGGTTGAAAATATTTTTTGTTATTTATTACACTTTTTTTTATTATAAATATATCTACAAGTTGACTAATATTTGACATATATTTCCATGTTTTTTTATGCAGCCTTGCGTGGGTGCACCAACGGTAAGTCTGTGGCTCTTCTACCAAGCTTTACAAAGAATCTAAATGAACAAAATCTAGTGTTTAATTTCAGGATTTTAAGAGTTTTTGAACCTTTTTTTGCAGGCTGTGACCTTCGACAATTGCCTAAATTTGAGAGTGGCCAACATAAGGATTAAAAATGCACAACAAATGCATCTAACTTTTCAAGATTGTGTGAATGTTAAAGCTTCAAATCTCAGAGTAATCGCACCAGAGAAGAGTCCCAATACTGATGGAATTCATGTCACTGGAACCCAAAATATTCAGATTATGAGCTCTCTCATCAGAACAGGTAAAGGAGAGGAGCCAAGCAAAAATGAATTCTTAGTTCTATTACTGTATTTTACCAATGTTACACTAATAGATTAGGAGAAAGATTGTGGTTTATACTAGATTCGGTGTCGTAACAATATAACTCATTTTGGTTGATCCCAAGCTACCAAATGAGTTGTAATCTCATCATAGTTTTTTCTGTAAGTTGATATTATTTTTACTAATTTTCCTTAACAACTAATGTGGCATAGTCATAAGTTCATAACCATTAGATGATTAGTAAAAATATTAATCAAATAATCCACAACAGTTGCAAATGAAAATGAGTTAAAAAAAGTTAGAATTGATTTTTTTTACACACGTAACGGTTTCTTATTTCTAATAAATTAGAAAATTTTGAGGAGAAAATGAGATTTTTTTTGACCTTTCTGTATTTCTAAATATTTTTGCAGGTGATGATTGTATTTCCATTGTGAGTGGATCTAAAAATGTTCGAGCAACGGATATAATATGTGGACCAGGCCATGGAATCAGGTCTCAAATTCTAAATCCATCCAACTTATTAATAATCAAAAAAATTTCTACTTTTAAAGCATGTAATCTCATTTATTTACAAATTTATTTACACGTTTCTTCACAGCATTGGAAGCTTAGGAAAAAACAAGGCAGAGGATGAGGTTTCAGATGTGGTTGTGGACAGAGCAAGAATTTCGGGGACCACAAATGGAGTAAGGATAAAGACTTGGCAGGTAAGTGTCATTTTACAACTTCTACATATAGGCTCTGAGGGCAAATTACACTTTATGCCTTCAACTATAGTCCTAATCCCTTTCTAATCCCCTCATCTATCGAGTTTTTTTCACATTGGTCCCTTAATTATAGGAATTTGTCTCATGTTTCGGACAGAAGGTTTTTATGTGTCATTAGTTGAGGGGATAATATGAAATAAGAGTATAGTTGAGGGGCTCAAAGTATAATTTATCCAAATATCTAACTCATTAACAACATTGAATTTGGATGAAATAACACATCAAACCCCTTGTATGTGTGAAATGACAAGAAAGCCCCATAGTTCACAGTTCTGTATTTCATCAATGATCAATTAAATGTTCATTTTTATCTCATTTTCTATGCAGGGAGGATCTGGATACGCAAAGAACATCAAATTCCAAAACATTATCATGCACAATGTGACTAATCCCATAATTATAAATCAGAACTATTGTGATCAGTCGGAATCATGTCCAGAACAGGTAATAAATAATTCAAACTCTATCACCACTAAACTTGTCAATTGTGTAGAGTTTTAATGGTTTCGTGTTAAATCGTGACCTATAATCGATTTGTTTATTAATTCGTGTTTAAAGAATCAAGTTATATCGGGTTTACGTTGTGTATGATCATGTATAATTGATATATACACAAATCGTGTATTTTTTTTATTGGATTCATCCATACCTGATTCGTTTATTAATCGTGTCGTGTATTTATTAAGAAAGACCCAAACCCTGTTATTTCATTACTTTTGAGAGATCGTATCATATTCTAACACCACTAATCACCACCACCCTAATCATAAACACTCATTCTGCCAACTGCATCTCTTTCCTACCGTATCTTAACTAACAAATCTGATTAGGGTACGAAAATATAGCTTTTTTGTACCCTATCTTCGCATCTAATCCAATTAAATCGTGGCCATTTTTTTCTGAGTAGTCATATTTTGCTATAACAACTGTATTTTTGAGTAGTCATATTTTGCTAGACTTATCCTCTAACTCTATGATCTGTTTTTGATTTCAGCCCTCAGCTGTGCAAGTAACGAATGTGGTGTACAAGAACATCAGAGGAACCAGTGCTTCAGAGGTGGCTGTTAAACTTGACTGTAGCAAGACCTTCCCATGTAATGGCATTGTGTTACAGAATGTAAATCTAGTCCGTGAAGGAGAGACAAAAGCAAAAGCTTCGTGCCAGAACGTCAGACTAGCAAGCACAGAGAGGGTCTCTCCACTTTGCCAATGACAAAAAAGCAAACGAACATCCATCACTTTCTTATGAAAACAGTTTTTTGGGTTTCAATTAGAATTTAAATAGGAATATATTTTTTTAGTGAAGAATAATTAGATTTTTTTATTTCATGTAAACTTTTGTTTTTTTTTTGTTTATGTTTTTTTAGATTTCATGCTCGATGAGAATTATTGATTTCGTTTCTTTATTAAAATTTGAAAGTCAGTGGCGATAGTCTCGTAGATTGAGCCGCCCTTTTTATAAGTTTGTAAGTCACATAACGATTTAGAGATATTTATACTCATTCATCAAGAATATTTCTCATTTATTTTATCGTACATTTTTTTTTTTGTGAATTTAAGGTTATATTTGTGTGTTCTTCGATAGAAACTTTATTTTCCTCTGGTAGTTGCTATTTGGTACATTGCAATCTGAGTCTTGATTAACTTGACATGTTGGTTGATGAGTAAAATTCGACATTTCAAAGTTTTTTAGTTATACCTAACAAGGCTTACATAATCTTCACAATATAGTTGCTCGTTTAAGGCATAGTTAGTTATCTGGCCCCTACCATTGACCTGGCAAAAGAATTGGTCAGTGAGTCATTGAATTAACTGGTTAGACTGATCATAAATTTAATAAATATTTGTAAACACGTACCTTTTAAACTATTTAATTGTGAGAAAAAACATTATCTAAAATCTTTTGTAGATAAGTACCTTTTAACTTGAAATGTATTGTATTTAGGTAATCATTGACAGATTTATTTGAAGACTGTTAATTGGGCAGCCCCATTTTTTTTATGAGATTTGATTTATAATATTAATAGCTTCATATTTTAGGGGATTGAACATATTTGATATTCAAAATTATACTATATGGACTACACCTTAATGACTTGATCCAAATTTTGAAATTCATTTTTTTCATATTATTTTTATTGTTAAACAGTTCTAGTTGCTCTCATTTCTAACAACAGTGTCACTTTGCAATGTTATACTGTAACGTAATTCTATCATTCATTAAAAGAATTTCACAACTTTCAGTGGATCAATGAATGTAATATGGAGGGTACTTAATAGAAAATGAGTGACGAATAAGTATATTGAAGTGATAAAAGACATATATGACGGGACTATGACTGCAATTGGGTCTTGCGTGTGAGAAAGTAAAGAATTTTCAATCATGGTGGAATTACACTAATGATCAAGGTCCATATTTATTCGCTCTAATTATGGATGAACTCACTATGCACATTAAAGATGATGTCTCACAGTGTTTGTAGATGATATTGTATTAGTAGATGAAACTTGAAAGAAGATTAACAATAAACAAAAAATTTGGAGAGAGACAATCGAGTCGAAAGGGTTTAAAATAAGTTGAAGTAAAACTGAAGATATGTAATGTAATTTTAGTAACAGAAGTAGTACACATAGTGAAAAAATTAAGATTGAAAATCAAGAAATACTAACAATAAACGATTTAGATATTTAGAATCAATCATTAAGAATGATGGAGAGATTGAAGATGATGTAACTTATAGAATCGACACCAGTTGGTTTAAGTAGAGGAAAACTTCTGGTATATTATATGATAGAAGGATACTAATAAAATTGAAAGATAAGTTTTATTGAATAGCTATAAGAACAATAATGTTGTATGAGAGAGAATGTTGGGCAACTAGGAAATGAAAGCAAAACAAATGAGTGTAGCGGAGATGATAATGCTAAGGTAGATGTGTAGAAAAATTAGAAAGGATTGGATACAAAATAACTGTATTAGAGAAATGACACGAGTATCTCCAATTAAGGATAAATTAAGAGAAAATAGATTAAGATAGTTTGATAATGTTTAACAAAGACCGATAGAGGTACCGATTCAAAAAAGTGAGATAATCTCTGTTAATGATACTAGAAGTAGGGTAAATCTAAATTAACAATAAATAAAATAATAAGAAAATATATGAAAATATTTAACTTAAATGAGCGTATAGCGCATGATCAAAATGAATCGACTCCAAATGATTGGGAGATAAAGCTTGGTTTGACTTGGTTTTTGGTTTGAGTTAGGACTCGACTTATTTTTTAAACGAGTCGAATTTGAATAATTTTTTACGTTCATTTAGAAAAACAAGTTCTACAGTCTCAGCTCAAGCTCATAATACTCGGTTCAATTATCAATCCTAATAGAGGAGGACCTTTTTATAAATAATGTGTTACACATAAATTCACGATAAATAATTTATCATTAAAAATAATTTAAAAAATATATTTAAGGATATCTCAATTCAATACTCCAGTCAAATTGATTAGAGCGAGGAAGCTTGGAAATAGGGGTAGGGTAGGAAATATGGTCTTTCATCTTCCTATCCGATACTTTGCGAAAGAATATTTTTGTCTAAATTAATCGGGTAGAAAATCGGGTGAACATGTTTTGTGGTTATTAATTTTTGAATTATTTTAACAATTCAATTAAGTAATCTGCATCAATTTAACAACACAATAAACCAATAACGCTAAAATCTAAAACAATTACAATAACAATTATAATAAAATACAAGAAAGTTTAAGACATAAATATCAATACATCACAATTGTTCAAAGAGAGAGCGAAAGAGGTGAGGGAGGCGAGATGAGGAGGCTGGAGGCGAAACAGGCAACAAGGCATTAGGGAATTAGGGTTTTTATTATATATACGGGTAGGGTAGGGTAGGAACACATAAATTTGACGGCTATTTTGCATTGGTACCCAATTTAATCGGAAGACAAAAAATGTGACAACCCAAAAATTGGAGATCCTTTGTCAACTCGTTGATCACCCATCAACCCGCAGAATACCCGTGGATATCGTGTAACTCGATATCACACCATTATATCACATTTACCAGGGTTCATAATTTAACAAAATTTGGGTGGAGTCTCCTTTGTACATGAAACTCTATTCAAAAACACAACCTGTACAATCATACAACATTGACCACACCGGGTCTATTTATAAGTAAACGTTGACCACACTAGGTCCATTTATGAGTAAACATTGACCACACTGATCCATTTATCCATATTCATATAACAACATGTAATGTTACATTAAAAATAGTCCATATGAGTTCGATTACAATTCTTTTACATATATTACATGCTCAAAAACTAACTTAGCGAATGTTTTACAAAAACATAGTTTTTTTCACAATAGTTTTACAAAACGTGAATTTAAAAGCCACAAGTCGGCTTTTTTTCATCCTTGAGACCTCAAATACGAGAGCCGTCTACCGATTTATAGCCCGCACCTAAAATATTTTTCCATAAATAGTGAGTCACACTCAATAGGGTATCTCCTAAAGAGGTCACTCCCCAACTTAAGTGCATATGAAATGTCCATAAGCAACATTCAACAAGCAACAACCATTCTAATCAAGAATATGCAATTCAATGTTAGAAATCACCATGTCATGCTATGAAATGAGATGAGACTCACTCATGCACTTCAACCCGAGTCCTCTCCGGCTCTCACAACATAACACAATGCAATGCCAATGTGTATAAATTCGCCATTGATGATATACGTCCAATGATATTTTTAAATTAAACCATGTGTTTTTGTTATAAAATAAAATCATGTGTCTTTGTTGGACGTTGTAGTACTCGAAAAACTTCAAGACACGTGTCTTCATCATAATAGGGCAAGTGGCAACAATTATCAGTTAATATGGAAATGGCGCCCAACAGAGTTTAGCTGGACTGGTATAGATAACAGTGACAAAGGCGACGCTCCCAAGCACAATACCGCGAGATATATCTCCATCGCATTAAAAGTGGAAAAATGGACCTTTCTCCAAGGTTGGACAGAAATAGAATCGCAGAAGTGTGGGGGCAACCTCGGCGAAACTCGTCTCCCCCACTGCGATAGTGGTATCCTCAATCTATTGGACACTATTGCTCGACTAATCTACTGGACTAAAAGGAGATGTCCCCACCTAGGGACATGGAAATATGATCTTCCTCAAAGGAGATCTGAGCAATGGGGTGGGACGAGCATGATTGTTAACCTCTGCCTGGGGCAGAGTCTCGAAGGTTTAGTCTGCTCGAGCAGGCCTCCCAGTGTATGACTCACTACCCACTAAAATGTGCTTGACTGCGATCCGGAGAGACTCCTAAAGTAACTGGAGTTATTGGCCCGGATCAGCATATGGGATGATGAGACATGTAGATTGGTGGCTAAAAAACTGAAACTATGTGGGTTTTCTCTACCGAGTACTTCGACAAAAGTCTCGAGGAAGGGTCTAGAAAGAAAAAGAAGGACCCCGAGTTGGAGCGCGTTAAGGGCATCGCGGGCATGGTCCTCTCGAGGTCATGGTCCCACGGTGACCAGTCGCAGTCATGGACCTTGGGAGCCCTCTCTCACCTTGACTATCACATCTTCCTCAAGGCCACGTCTAGGTTACGTTTGGGGAAACATCACTTCTACTTGGTTAATGTTGGGACGCATGGCTCGCCGTTAACAGCCATTGGTATCGTTGCGGTCGAGACAGTTATGGGTTAGCGCGAGTGGTAGGAGGTCGCGGCGGGTAGCCTGACTTGCCCGAGCACTATGTTATAAATACCCACTGCAGAAGATGATTTTATGGCTGGTGAGAGCATTTTTCACCTACCATCTGCCCAACTAGTTTGTCCTTTCGTTAATTGGCTGCTCAAGTTCCTTCAATCTTATCCACTTAATTGGCATGGACACGTGTGTCAACCTCTTTTGACTCACCACTTACAGACGTTACACATCGAATGACTATTTTATAAAATAAAATCATGCGTCTTTGTTGGATAGCAGAGTTTTGGTATCCGATACACTCTCTGAAATTTTACCACAGAGGAGTGTATGAATCAAGTAATCGGGTCTTGCACCCAAGGGCGAATCTAGCCCTGCTTGCTATACTCGACACAAGTTTTTCATGCAAATTATGTGACTCAGTCGAATATTTGATTCAATTTTTCTCGAGCCCAAATATCATCCACCAAGAATAGTATTTGATTAAATCATGCTCACACACCCACCAAATGCTATATCTCCGTACATATGCAATGTAATGAATCATTGCAATATCAATATCATGCTCCATATATGTAATGTATGTCATATGAGCTAATTTAACCACATTCAAAATTTTCATGGCAAATTGTATCAAAAGCATATAACTTCCATAAAGCCATCACAATGCCAATATATCATAAGTATATACCAACATTCATATTTAATAACAATTTTTTCCAAGCATGTCATACATATTTTATGCAATAACACACTTAATTTTCACATAGGCATTTAGTCAAACATCTTCAAAGCACCAAATCATGTTATCACATAAAAATGCTCATAATTATCACATAAATAAAAAAAATTACATTTAGTAATTTCCACATATCCAATTATCAAAATTCCAAGAAATCACAATTTAGCAATTCTTATGTATTCAAGTCAAGATAGATTTATTCTACCCATTTTTAATATTTATTTTACATTTCAAATACAATAGACATTTGTTAAATCAAATCTAACAACCTACCCAATTCATACAATCATCCTAGGTTGAAAATAAATCTAAGTATGATGAAAATCCTATATCTTGAAGCGTAAAAGAATGTTGGTAAACTCCAAGAATAGACCCCAAGCTCAAACCTTAATTTCTCCAAAATTCTATCTTGGATACTTCAGTGAAATTTGCTCTTTTTGGTACATAAGTGTAGCTCTCATCGAGAAAATCAATTTTAATTCTTAGCTCGAGTTGATTCGTGAGACAGAGAGGCGTAGATCGTAGCGAGAAACCTTGAAATCTCTTTTTTTTTTTCTCTCATCTTCTTCACGTTAACCCACTGGAATATAACAGAGTATTTCGTCAAAAAAAATCAGATTTTTGTTCTTATTTATACCCTTTAACGCTTGGTCCACGTAGCGCCACGCGTCTCCCCCATTCCCAGATTTGTTTCGCCCTAAAATAATTAAATTTCATTTCGATTCAAATTCAAAATATTTTATATGAATTTAAAAAAAATTATTTTTCTACTTTTGAAATTTTATTAAAAATTTTATTTTTGGGTCACCTAAGACCCGACCGCCTCATAAAATGGAAAAAATTCAACTATCTCGGAATTCTGCGAAATTTGTTTAGGTAACTTGATTTTACGAGATGAGTACAACAATGAGATCCGTTTCGTCATCTGAGTTTTAGAAAAATATGAGTTCTCAATTCGTACCATAGTGACAATTTACCGTTTTGCCATTTTTCATAAAAAATTCAAATTTACTCAGATTTTACAAAAAAATCTTGCACATTCCTATCCAATTTTTTTAACTAATCGATCAATAAGATCAAATAAAATCGGATAAGATAAAAAATTACAAGTAATCAAAAACACACAGCTATAAAAGTCATTCTTTGCTCCGGAACCCTCCACTAACGTCAATCTTGAATTCAACCCAAATGGTCGTTAACAGACAGTTATAAGCCCACTTGTCGGTTTATAAAGCAACAAAAGTACAACGCCTTTCTGACGCCACGTTGCCTAACTTTTGACGCGGTGTGTTTTAGCTTTTGACGACACAATGGCACTAAGCTAAGTATGTCACAAATTAAACGTGGATTTATTTTAATGTTCCTATATATAAACCCCATAATTAATACACACTAATGGCAATTTAATTTAATATGTCGATTTAATGATATAATTTTATCGTAATTATTAAATTAACATCAAATTTATATATTTGATGAAACTCACAATTAATCTAATAAATATAATAAATTAGGTCAATGAATTAAATTTTATTAATATTTTTACAAATTAAATGCCACCTGTCAGCAATGAATATAGACCCCACATTGATGTGCGATAACTATGTGAATTATCGCAACAAAAAAAGGGTCATTTGAGTTTATTGGTCCTACACATATATTTAAGATCTTATCTTAAATACTTTTGATGTAAGACACAACATCCATCGTTGGGAATTCACAACGGTTTGAAACTAAATCATCTATCTTGTATTCATAACAGACCCACGGGGTTTACTCATTAAAAAAAAAAACTTGGTTTTAACGTTGGATTTCCATGCAAATGCTGTGGTTGAATTTGGGTTTACTCATTCAACCANAAAAAAAAAACTTGGTTTTAATGTTGGATTTCCATGCAAATGCTGTGGTTGAATTTGGGTTTACTCTTTCAACCATATATATATATATATATATATATTGGCATTCAAACTTTGAATATGAGAGATTTTTTCAACAATTCATTTTTTTTTCCAGGTCAATTTACCAAACAAAGGTTGAGGAAGCTTGTAAAGTCAATCTTTGGTCCATAACTTCGGTTACAGACAGATATAAGACCACTTGTAATTTTTGGTTATAGAACACGATAAGCCTAACGCGNTTTTCCAGGTCAATTTACCAAACAAAGGTTGAGGAAGCTTGTAAAGTCAATCTTTGGTCCATAACTTCGGTTACAGACAGATATAAGACCACTCGTAATTTTTGTTTATAGAACACGATAAGCCTAACGCGTCTCTAACGTCACGTAGTTGCCCAACTATTGGATGTTTTGTGTTCGAGTTTTTGAGGGATTTCACCTGTTCAATGGATTATTTTTTTAGTTTATAATAGGAACTCCCGCGACGGTGACAAAAATAAAATCGTGCACTTTTAAGATAAGAGGTCCACTTTAGACATTTTTAAAGCGAAAGATTCGTAAAATATGCAATTGACAAAAATAATCTTAATGAAGGAAATTATTTAAAAACTTTCACCACCACCGACAGTGAACTCTACAACAGTAAACTAAAAAATTTAATATGTTTTGTTATATATTGTGGATGAAAGAATAACTGAATTTTTTAGTTCATTGCCTTTTAATTCACTATTATGTAGTTCACCGTTGGTGATGGGTTGTGATATTTTCTATGGAAGATGAGCTTGATTTAACCATGAGAAATATATGACTCTTGTTCGGCTTCGGTTGAGAAAAGTGCAAGACACAAGACGTAATATTGTCATTTAAAAAAAGAGAAAAATTATTTTGGACTANTGGAAGATGAGCTTGATTTAACCATGAGAAATATATGACTCTTGTTCGGCTTCGGTGGAGAAAAGTGCAAGACATGACAAAAAAATTCAAATGAGCTGGATTTCACGCTTTAAAAAGTACATGCCTGAACTTATTTACAAATTTGATACAAAATTTATAGTTTTCAACTTTATAATATAACATATAAAATAGTTTAAATCACGAGTTAAACAAGTTATGTTCAATTTGTGTGCGGGCATTAAAAAATTAACAAATCAATTCTATGTATGACAGGAAAAGTCCAATTGATGCTATATATGTTGTTGGGCCAGTATGCATACATGTTAGGAGAGCCCATCTCCACAGGCATGCTTTTGTGTTGGTAAACAAGCATAAGTTAACTAAACAATTGATAACCCTTAGTTGAGAGATACCTGATGTTAGAGTCAGCTACCTGCCAAATAATACTTTCTTATACATCTCTTGAACCTCACTCCATACCATTGAATCATAGTCAAGAACATTCCCTAAGCAGCCATTGACCCTCTCTCTCTCTAAAGCAACTTTTTTTTTTTTTCTAGTATATATATGCTAATGATGGTATAACATTTTCATTGCCATTCCTTCTGTCATTGCAGCAAGTTTCCTATTTCCTGGACGTTTTATTCTCTCTCTCTGCAGAAAGTGAGGNCATTGCCATTCCTTCTGTCATTGCAGCAAGTTTCCTATTTCCTGGACGTTTTATTCTCTCTCTCTCTGCAGAAAGTGAGGATGAAAATGGTTCTACATAGCCTTGTTGTCCCTCTCTTCATCATTTTAATGTCATGCCCCTCATGTTTTTGCAATTTCAAAAAGGTCCCACTCTCTGATAATCTTGATGAGACCCAGGGCCACAAGCCAATGTCAACTGTGTACTCTAAATCTATTGCCACCACCATTATCAATCGACACGACAACTTCAGATCAAACTTTCCGACCATGGTCAAGCATGAGAAAGATATAGAAAGCTTGTTCAGGTAGGTACCAAAGCAACCTCGCCATGGACATTCAATGTGGATGATTTCGGAGCTCGTGGTGATAGAACAGACGATTCTGAGGTACTATATTCACGAAAATTATAGGATGAAATTAAATGTTTAAAATTAAAACAACTGAAATGAAAGCTTTAATTTGGTTGAACTTTATTAATTCATGTCTATGATCAGTTTAAGAATAGTGACCCTAATGTTTGTTGCATTTGTAGTTTGGTAGTTGTTGACACAGTTGCTTTTGTATTACGTATGTTACAATAGTTTATGTTCTGTTTGACAAGGTTTTTAAAGTTTTTTTTAAGAAAAAATAATTTTGTAACAAAAAAAATTATTGTTAATTACGATTTGCAAAAATGGTTTACATGCATAGTAGCATATAAATAATATATGTACACAAGAATAAGTTCAAAAGGAAAGAAGCAAACTCAAATAAGTAAAAAGAATAAATGAAAAAAATAAATACAAACTTTACGTAATAAAAATAATGATAAATGACACTTGTCACACTTAAGGATCTTTGAATTTTTAGTTTTCACCATGAAAGATTAAAATTCCCACAAGTGCATCCTCAATTAAATAAAAATGTAGCAATGTGCTCCATTTTCATAAAATTAACTAGAAATTTTTACTGTAAATTACTCAAAAGTAGGTATTATACAAATAATTTTGTATTAAAACAGGATAATATAATAAAGAAAACAAAAACTATAGCAAAAAAGGCATTGAAAAATAGGTTTTGGACCACTTGCTATATTTTTGTCTAATTAAGGGTGCAATGTGAGAATTTTAATTTTTTAAGATATAAATTAAAATTTTAATAATTTTCCAAGGTACAAAGTGTCATTTGCCCTAAAAAACAAAACACATTTTAAAATAGCATTGTCAAACGATGCCTTATGTTCAATTATAAATTTTATTTTTAATATTTTTCTTTCAGGCATTCAATAAAGCTTGGAAGGAGGCTTGTTTTTTTTGAAGGAGGAGCTGTTCTTGTAATACCGACTAACAGGACATATCATCTTAAGCCAATTACTTTTCTAGGTCCTTGCAAATCCCTCCTTACAGTGATGGTAAGTTTGTAATGCATGAATTCATAAAATAATAGCTAGAACATTTTTCGGATTTTTGAAAAATCTTGCGGTCATTATTTTTGATTTCATTCTAACTTAATCATCCACTGCACTACACATTCACAACAATTCACAATAAAGAGTGCAATTGTTCTCTTGCTTTCGTTTCGAGAACAATTGGTAACGTCTATTGTTAATTGTGAACTTTTTATCCTTTTGTTTCATCCATGACTGTAATTTTTCAAACAGAAATACACAATCGCACATGTTTTTGTGTTTTTCTATTTCGTTTTGCTGTCAGTTTGCGATAAGAAATCAAAATATGATGGCTTTTGCTAACTCTCTATTAGAATTTCATATAATTTTTTTTTATTTTTTTGGGTAATCTTAATTAGGTCCATGGAACAATCAAAGCTTCTCCACGCCGATCAGACAACAAGTAAAGCCCCAGACAATGGATTGTGTTTGAAAAAATGAACAAATTCATGGTTGAAGGTGGTGGCGAAACTCTTGCAAAATCAACAAAAGCCTTGTAAGAATTGGTGACCAAATTCTCTAATTGAATACTTGGTCGGTGACTGTGTGCATCTGAGCTTTTTATTACAATAATTAGAGGTGTAGTTCGGACAAATTAACCCGAATCTAACTTGAAATATAGAATACTTGGGTAGAGATTTTAAATACTAAATTTGGTCTTGAGCCAAAAAATTCTAACCTAATTTTAATTCAAGCAGTACTCAGGTTGGGGTCTCAAATTTTTTGGATCACACCCAAATTTATATACAGTCTCACCCCAAATTTTGGCCCTGAAATGTGAAACTAGAGACTCAAACCCCAATTGAACTCGAATTTTAAATGAGGTTGGATCACATGGAAGTCAAACCCAAATTGAANCCAGTACTCAGGTTGGGGTCTCAAATTTTTTGAATCACACCCAAATTTATTGGATTCAGTCTCACCCCAAATTTTGGCCCTGAATTGTGAAACTAGAGACTCAAACCCCAATTGAACTCGAATTTTAAATGAGGTTGGATCACATGGAAGTCAAACCCAAATTGAACCTTATTTCAATCTAAATTGTNGGCGAAACTCTTGCAAAATCAACAAAAGCCTTGTAAGAATTGGTGACCAAATTCTCTAATTGAATACTTGGTCGGTGATTGTGTGCATCTGAGCTTTTTATTACAACAATTAGAGGTGTAATTCGGACAAATTAACCCGAATCTAACTTGAAATATAGAATACTTGGGTAGAGATTTTAAATACTAAATTTGGTCTTGAGCCAAAAAATTCTAACCTAATTTTAATTCAACCAGTACTCAGGTTGGGGTCTCAAATTTTTTGAATCACACCCAAATTTATTGGATTCAGTCTCACCCCAAATTTTGGCCCTGAATTGTGAAACTAGAGACTCAAACCCCAATTGAACTCGAATTTTAAATGAGGTTGGATCACATGGAAGTCAAACCCAAATTGAACCTTATTTCAATCTAAATTGTGTAATCCAGATTCAACCCAAATTCAAATTAGATGAATGTTTAGAGTTAAATTTAGGTTTGGGTAAAAAATTTTAAAAGTTCGATTAAGCACGAGTAAATCCCCCAACTTGGGTGGATTCTTCATTAGCATGGTAAAAAAGACACGTGGTTGAGATGATTTCCCCATATCTATTACACTTTTTTTTATTATATTTATATATCTACAAGTTGACTAATATTTGACATATTTTTCCATGTTTTTTTATGCAGCCTTGCGTGGGTGCACCAACGGTAAGTCTGTGGCTTTTCTGCCAAGCTTTACAAAGAATTAACATGAACAAAATCTAGTGTTTAATTTCAGGATTTTAAGAGTTTTTGAACGTTTTTTTGCAGGCTGTGACCTTCGACAATTGCATAAATTTGAGAGTGGCCAACATAAGGATTAAAAATGCACAGGAAATGCATCTAACTTTTCAAGATTGTGTGAATGTCAAAGCTTCAAATCTCAAAGTAATTGCACCAGAGAATAGTCCTAACACTGATGAAATTCATGTCACTAGAACTCAAAATATTCAGATTACGTGCTCTCTCAACAGAACAGGTAAAGGAAAGGAGCCAAGCAAGCATGAATTCTTAGTTCTATTACTGTATTTTACCCATGTTACACTAATAGATTAGGAGAATGATTGTGGTTTATACCAGATTCGGTGTCATAACAATATAACTCATTGTGGTTGATCCCAAGCAACCACATGAGTTGTAATCTCATCTATTTGAGTCATAATCTCACTTGATTGAGTCATAACTTATGATACAGTACGAAAAAGTAACCTTGTGGTATCATAGCCTTTTTTGTAAGTTAATATTGTTTTTACCAATTTTTCCTTATCAACTAATGTGGCATAATCATAAGTTCATAACCATTGGATGATTAGTAAAAACTACTAATCAAATAATCCACAACAGTTGATAATGAAAATGTGTTAAAAAAAGTCAGAATTGGTGTTTTTTAACACGTCACGGTTTCTTATTTGTAATAAATTAGAAAATTTTGAGGAAAAAATGGGATTTTTTTGACCTTTTTGTTTTTCTAACTATTTTTGCAGATGATGATTGTATTTCCATTGTGAGTGGGTCTAAAAATGTTCGAGCAACGGATATCATATGTGGACCAGGCCATGGAATGAGGTCTCCAATTCTAAATCCATCCAACTTATTAATAATCAAAAAAATTTCTACTTTTAAAGCATGTGATCTCTCTCTCTCTCTCTCTCTCTCTATATATATATATATATATATATATATCTCGTTTATTTACAAATTTATTTTCACGTTTCTTCACAGCATTGGAAGCTTAGGAAAAAATAAGGCAGAGGATGAGGTTTCAGATGTGGTTGTGGACAGAGCAAGAATTTCGGGGACCACAAATGGAGTAAGGATAAAGACTTGGCAGGCAAGTGTCATTTTACAACTTCTTCATATAGGCTCTGAGGACAAATTACACTTTATACCTTCAACTATAGTCCTAATCTCTTTTTATCCCCTCATCTATCGGGTTTTTTTTCACATTGGTCCCTTAATTACAGGAATTTGTCTCATGTTTCGGACAGAAGGTTTTTATGTGTCATTAGTTGAGGGGATAATATGAAATAAGAGTATAGTTGAGGGATCAAAATATAATTTATCCTAATATCTAACTCATTAACAACATTGACTTTGGATGAAATAACACATCAGACCCCTTGTTTGTGTGAAATGACAAGAAAGCCCCACAGCTCACATTTCTATATTTCATCAATGATCAATTAAATGTTCATTTTTATCTCATTTTCTATGCAGGGAGGATCTGGATACGCAAAGAACATCAAATTCCAAAACATTATCATGCACAATGTGACTAATCCCATAATTATAAATCAGAACTATTGTGATCAGCTGGAATCATGTCCAGAACAGGTAATAAACAATTCAAATTCTATCACCCCTAGACATTTCAATCGTGTCGGGTCTTAATGGTTTCGTGTTAAAAAGTACTCTACCTATACTCGATTTATTTATTAATTCGTGTTTAACGAATCATGTCATATCGGGTTGATGTTGTGTATGATCGTGTACAACTGATATTTACACAAATCGTGTAGTTTTTTTGATTGGATTCACCCATACTCAATTCGTCTATTAATTGTGTCGTGTATTTATTAAGAAAGACTCAAATCCTGTTATTTCGTGTCTTGTTGATAGGTGGTATCATATTCTGACACCACTAATCACCACCACCCTAATCATAGACACTCATTCTGCCAACTGCATCTCTTTCGTACCGTATCTTAACTAACAAATCTGGTTATGATATGGAAATATAACTTTTTTGTACCCTATCTTCACATCTAATCCAGTTAAATCGTGATCATTTTTTCTGAATAGTCATATTTCGCTATAACACCCGTATTTTTTTTTTTTATATATATTTTTGTGAGTACCGTAGACTTATCCTCTAAGTCTATGATCTGTATTTGATTTCAGCACTCAGCTGTGCAAGTAACGAATGTGGTGTACAAGAACATCAGAGGAACCAGTGCTTCAGAGGTGGCTGTTAAACTTGACTGTAGCACGACCTTCCCATGTAATGGCATTGTGTTGCAGAATGTAAATCCAGTCCGTGAAGGAGAGACAAAAGCAAAAGCTTCATGCCAAAACGTCAGACTACCAAGCACAGAGAGGGTCTCTCCACTTTGCCAATGACAAAAAAGCAAAAGAACATCACATTCTTAGGAAACAGTTTTTTGGGTTTTAATTAGAATTTAAATAGGAATATATTTTTTTGGTGCAGAATAATTAGATTTTTTTATTTCATGTAAACTTTTGTTTTTATTTTTCTCTTTTTAGATTTTATGCTCGACGAGAATTATTGATTTCGTTTCTTTATATAAATTTGTAAGTCAGTGGCGAAAGTCTCATAGATTGAGCCACCCTTTTTTATAAGTTTGTAAGTCACGTAACAATTTAGAGATATTTATACCCATTCGTCCAGAACATTTCTCATTTATTTTATCACACACACATATATATATATATATATATATATAT